AGCGCCTTGACGCAGTTGCAGGCATTGGTCTGGGACGGATAGCATTCCTGTAGCAGAGCCAAACACTTCCTTGAAATGATTAGTGATAGCATCATGCGAGTTGATTATAGCACTATTGGCGTTCCATATTGCTCGTGCCCACAACAGTGCTCTGCCAGTTAGCAGGGAAATCAAGAAGGCTACCTTCGATCGTTCCGTAGAGAATTTCTGAGGCTGCATCTCGATGAACAGTGCCACTTGGAGAAGGAAGCCGCCACACTCAGCTGCGCCACCAGCATAGCAAGCAGGAATGGCCATGGGACTTACAGAGGCAGATTGCGGGGTAGTGACTGGCATGAGAGAGGCTCGGAGGGTATTGACCAATTCTTCCAGTACCTCTGCGGGTGAGGGAACCCGGGGATTCATGGAGGTGTATGTCCTTCGTCCAGTCTTCTGTCACACTATGAGCCAGAGACAAAAGGTAAGGATGCAAACAAGAGGGTTTATTGAACAATGCGGAGAGCAAGTTGATGACAGGTGAGTATGAGATGCTAGAGAGTTCTTAAGAGAGTGCTAGAGAGTTCTTAAGTTCTTAAGAGTTCTCTGGGTAGTTCGTTGGTATCCTTTGCGGGTATCCGGAGAGGATGAGAACAGGATCGTTGGAGATAAGGATCGATGGAGCTTCTAGGGGTAAGTAAACAACAGATCAGATAAAGGTAGGAGTCAGGCGGAGTTCAAGCTGGTGAACAGTAGACCGGACAGTGAAGCAGTGAGAGCAGTGCAGGGATATAGTGTGCTTAATGAGTCTCTTCGGAGGGTATTGACCAATTCTTCCAGTACCTCTGCGGGTGAGGGAACCCGGGGATTCATGGAGGTGTATGTCCTTCGTCCAGTCTTCTGTCACACTATGAGCCAGAGACAAAAGGTAAGGATGCAAACAAGAGGGTTTATTGAACAATGCGGAGAGCAAGTTGATGACAGGTGAGTATGAGATGCTAGAGAGTTCTTAAGAGAGTGCTAGAGAGTTCTTAAGTTCTTAAGAGTTCTCTGGGTAGTTCGTTGGTATCCTTTGCGGGTATCCGGAGAGGATGAGAACAGGATCGTTGGAGATAAGGATCGATGGAGCTTCTAGGGGTAAGTAAACAACAGATCAGATAAAGGTAGGAGTCAGGCGGAGTTCAAGCTGGTGAACAGTAGACCGGACAGTGAAGCAGTGAGAGCAGTGCAGGGATATAGTGTGCTTAATGAGTCTCTGCAGGTGTGGGTGATCAGTATTCTGGTGATTGCGATCTGGTGTGTCTTGGGGCTGGTGACTGTGAAGGCAGAGACTCCCTGACTGCATGCAGTCGTCTAAACTACACCATCATTTCTGCTTTGATTACCTGTGAATTGTATACCTCTTACATTTCAGTATAGTAGATGTTTTACTACCTGATTCATTTTTGAAGGCTCTTAAAACCATGACATGCACTTTTTTTTCTCAGTCTGCTGCTGATCACCTGACAGCTCAAGTCACCAGTGAAGTGTTTGGGACTGTGTATGTGTTATTGTGTTATTTTAGCCAATTAGTGTTGCCAGGACAACATTTTTCTGCATCTCAAGTGAGAGCAGTCACATGACATTTACAGTTTTACAGTTTGGCTCAAAAAGTTCTGTGGTCACATTACCAAACAAGGCATTTTGTAGCTCCAAAGAGCCCTGTGAGAGCCATACAGCTGCCATTAAGATGAATATAAATCTAACAAAAAAACTCTCTCCAAACAGTATACAGTCATGGCCAAAAGTTTTGGCAGTGACAGAAATTTTGTGTTTTGCAAAGTTTGCTGCTTCAGTATTTGTAGATTATTTTTTCACGTTTCAATGGTATGGAAAACAATAATAAGCATATTAAAAGTTTTAAAAGCAAAGAAATCAGAGTCAATATTTGCAGTGTTGACCCTTGTTCTTCATAACCTCTGCTATTCACTCTGGCATGCTGGATATTAGCCTCTGGGCCAAATCCTGACTGATTTGGCATTCTTGCCTCATTAGTTCTTGGAGTTGATCACAGTTTGTGGGCTTCTGCTTGTCCACTTGCCTTTTGAGGACTGACCACAGGTTCTCTATGGGATTGAGATCCGGGGAGTTGCCTTGCCACGGACCCAAAATTTCAATGTAATGATCTTCGAGCCACTTCTTTATCACTCTTGCTTTGTGACATGGTGCTCCATCATGCTGGAAAATGCACGGATCATCACCAAATTTGATCGTTGGAAGAAGTCGCTCTTGCAGGACGTTTTGATACCATTCTTTATTCATGGCAGTATTTTGGGCAGAATTATGATATATATTGGTTGAAAAGCAACCCCACACATAGATGATCTCAGGATGCTTCACTGTTGGTAAAACACAGGACTCATGGTAGCGTTCACCTTTTCTTCTCTGAACAATCGATTTTCCAGATGTCCCAAACAGTCGGAAGGGAGCTTCATCAGAGAAAATAACTTTGCACCAGTCTTCTGCTGTCCAATCCTTGTACTTCCTGCAGAATTTCAGTCTGTCCTTGACATTTTTCTTGGAGAGAAGTGGTTTCTTTGCTGCCCTTCTTGATACGAGGCCATTGTCCAAAAGTCTTGGCCTCACTGTGCGTGCAGATGCTCTCGCACCAGCCTGCTGCCATTCCTGAGCAAGCTCTGCACTGGTGCTGACACGATTCTGTAGCTGTAGCGATTTATGTCACTGCCATAACTTTTGGCCATGACTGTCAATCAAAGACCATTTAATTGATTTTCTTCTGTTCAGAACTGCTCTTGTGTTTATGCAGTTCAGTCTCAAGACAACATGCATTTATGTCACATTTAATTATTCTTTATTCATTATTTTAAATTCAAAAGCCGTCAGAAAAGTTGTGATTCTCAATGTGATTTTCAGGTAAAAACACTGTTTAGTACAGCAGTGGATATTATTATTATTATTATTATTTACATTTACATTTAATCATTTAGCAGACGCTTTTATCTAAAGCGACTTACAAATGAGGACAATGGAAGAAATCAAAATCAACAAAAGAGCCATGATATACAAGTGCTATAACAAGTCTCAGTTAGCTTAACGCAGTACGCATAGCAAGGGTTTTTTAAATAATATAATAAATAAAAAGAAAGAAAACAGATTAGAGCAAGCTAGTGTTAGAGGCCTTTTTGCTTTTGTTAATTGTATAATAACTGAAAAGAAAACAGATAGAATACAAAAAGATTAGAAAGCAAGTGTTAGTTTTTTTTTTTTCTTTTTAAGAAAACAAGCAGCAAATGAATAGAGTGCAAGTCTAAGAGGGACAAGTGTTTTTTCATTTTTTCTTTTTTAAGAATAGAATTAGAATAGAGAGTGCTAGAGTTAGAGGGTCAAATTTTAGCTGATTCTTGAAGATGGCTAAGGACTCAGCTAATCAGATTGAGTTGGGCAAGTCATTCCACCAGGAGGGAACATTTAATTTAAAGTTATTAAAGTTTTAAAGAAATTTCCCCCCACAATTTACACAAAATTCTACTTAATGGGTTAGTTCACCCACAAATAAAATTGTCATTATTTACACACCCCTAGGTTGTTCCAAACTTGAATGAGTTTCTTTCTTCGGCTGAACACAAAATAAGATATTTGAAAGAATTCTGGTAACCAAACCGTTGCCGGTAGACATTTAATTGCTTACTATGGACAAAAATACTAAGGCTACCGTCAGCTTCAAAATATTTTATTTTGTGCTCAACAGAAGAAAGAAACTCGTACAGGTTTGGAACAAGTGGAAAGCGAGTAAATGATGACAGAGTTCTAATTTTTTGGGTGAACTATCCCTTTAAGAATGTGAAAGAGTTTGTCGATTCCATCCTGTAGTCAATATAGACCATAAGACAGGTGCAGCCGCAGAAAGACATTTTGTATGAATTGCGTACAAAGCGTGATTCCATCAGCCTTATTTTCGCTCTTCATATAAATATGACAGAAAGAGACAAACCAGGATTTAAGTCAAGGCCGTGCACTAAAAAGTCCTTTTTCAATACAGTTGATGGGTTCAAGCCATCTTTAACAGTGCTTTATTGTGTGTTCCAGAGGCAATTAGGCTGAGTCAATAAGATGGCAGTCTCTAGTGCTGGGATCAGGTGCAAACAAAAGCACTATATGGACCAACAAAGCTAAATATTTATACCCGCTTTGTCCTGTCAAACACAGTGCAATAAATATGGCTCACCAGGGTTAATGCTTCAATATTGCTCACCAAATGTACTTAATAGGACCTTAAGTCTAATAGTCTCAGCATGATGAGGCAAAGTTACATTTAACATCTATAAAAACACAAACCTTCATTTCAAAGGCCATGTTTTGGATTATTAGGCATGTCGAGGGTCACAAAACAACATATTTCCTCATTTGAGAATTAAATACATTCGCCTAACGCTGCTATTCACGCAAATGCAGAAAAGCAGCTAAACACAATGATTTTATGAGGTCAGCTGGAAATGAATGCGAAGAATGACAAGGCAATCCATTCACCGGTGCTCTGGCCTTGACAACAGCGACTCCTCTAATGAAATTAACATCTTTAAATTACACTGAGGTCACAAGGCCATTTATAAGCACGTTGGGCTATTTATCCCAAAACTCTATTCCGCTCGTCTTCATTTGCCCCAAAACGAATCAGCCCTATTTCCTCCATTCACGACTGGATATACACTCTTAAAAATAAAGGTGCTTCAAAAGGTTCTTCAAGCGATGCCATTCTGTCAAAGGTTCTTTAAAGAACCATCTCTTTCTTGTGTTTTTGTAATCTGAAGAACCTTCTTTCGCCACAAAGAACCTTTTGTCAAACAGAAAGGCTCTTCAGATGTTAAAGGTTCTTTATGGAACCATTTAGACAAAAAGGTTCTTCTATGGCATCGTGAAGCACCTTTATTTTTAAGAGTGTAGGGCATGAACGCAAACAGTGCGGCTGCAGTGGACACGAGAGATATTAAAGACCGATGAGAAGCTTGAGATAAATGGCGGAGCAATTAATTTGTGACTTTTAAAAAGTCCTAATGAAGAGAAATATAAGTATAGACGAGCGGTAAAGAACAGAGATCAGGGCAGGGCATCGCATTGCATTAGACAGGAGAAGTCGATTTTGTTTTGTAAGAAAAGTATTGGTGTGATGAAAGCGAATGAGGGGTTATGGGTACCTGTACAGGACCGATGCTTTTATTCCTGCCTCCCGGCATGCCATCTTCTCTGATTGCTGAAAAACACAAAACCAAATAATGAGCTGAATGTCCATTCAAAAAGAATTTTACCTTCGAGATGAGACATTCTGCGTGCCTCTGAAATGCTTCGCCTCTTTTCAGCATTCAAATTGAAATGACTAAATTGCTTTGTATATGCCTCATGATTTAGATGTTAACCGCTGAAGGAACAAAAGAACAATTGCGGCATGCTTTCAACAACACCCAACTTTGGGGGAAGAAAACCAGACATTATAAAAGTGTGTCTAGAATCTAAGCTCAATACAGCTGAAGGTGGATTAGAAATGTCGCTCGGATACTGTAAATACTTTGACACCGTTCTTTGGCCAGAACATGAACTCTTTGCTATGTATTGATGAGTAACCTATTATATGAGTTTTCTAGCATTTTGAGTCTAACATGCAGATAATGTAGTAAAGCAATAAGCCACTGAAGGCTGTGCATAAGAGTTGTTGTTGAGTGCATAAACCCCCTTTACTGTGGTAAAATCCCTGTGAAGCATATTTTCAGATGGCTTTTGCTTTTATAAACTGGCAACAATAGATGTAAAAGATGTCATATTTAATTAATAATAATTGCAGTTTATTAATAAATATAATTTAGTTAATTTTCAAATGTGGCTGTTATAATTGGGTTTAAAACAAACCACACTTAACTTTTTGAAAAGAAGTGTGCTTAATTGTATTGAATGTGTACTTGTAGTGTGCATCAAATCTTCAAAGCATATATTTTTTTAAAAACTGTATTTGCAACAATATAATGTTGATTAAATAAAAGGCCACTTAAGTGTACTTAAAGAGAGACTTGTATGACCATGTTTCTTAACACGCGTTGAAAAAGTGCACTTGGTAATCATGTCAAATTAAACATCCTACTTTAAAGTACATTTTAAATTATTTAGTTATAATACGTGTCATGCATTAAAGCTGTACACTTATTTTTATGTGTTGACTAGCACTTACATTTAAAGTTAATATATTTGAATGTACTAAAATGCAACTTCATCATTACATATAAGTATTTACAAATATATTTAAATACATGACATACAAGTTTCAATAAGAATAGTTTACCATAAATGAGGTATATCCGGCAGTACTTTAACCATATTTCAAAGACATTTATTAACTATTAATTAGTTAATTAACTAAGTTAATATGAAATTACGATAAAGATATACTTAAGCCCTATTAAAAAAAAAAAAAAAAAAGAGTTTAGCTAGTTGCATTTAATATTGATTTAAAACATAGCACATTTTCATTTAATTGCAATTAACATGCACTTCACATATGTGACCTTGGAGCATAAAAGCAGTGTTAAGTCGCTGGGGTATATTTGTAGCAATAGCCAAAAATACATTGTATTGGTTAAAATGATCGATTTTTCTTTTATGCCAAAAATCCTTAGGATATAAAGTAAAGATTATGTTCCATGAAGATATTGTAAATTTCCTTCCGTAAATATATCAAAACTTAATTTTTGATTAGTAATATGCATTGCTAAGAATTCATTTGGACAACTTTAAAGGCGATTTTCTCAATATTTGATTTTTTTTGCACACTCAATATTGTCAATATTCAATATTTCAATATTGTCCTATCCTAACAAACCATACTTATTTATTCAGCTTTCATATGATGTATAAATCTCAATTTCGAAAAATGTACCCGTATGACTGGTTTTGTGGTCCAGGGTCACATATTAAGGTCACATATTATATAGTATATTACTTCTGTAATAGGTACTGTTTAAATGTATGCTGATGTGTACTTTTTCACAAGGGTTTCTCGTCTCTTTTGGAAGACTTCTCAGTTTTGCATTTACTCTGTCTTGAGAGGAGTATTCTATACGGTTCTCAGGGGTGCTGAAGCTTATGCTCTATGAATAGGAAATGTAATGCATCTACAACCAGAATCATCTCCTGAACGCTTCTCAATCTTAACCCAAACATGATATGACAGTAAAAGATGAAATGACTGTTTCATGACTGTGACTGTTGTCAGAGAAGTATCTAAATTACAGGCACATTGTGAGCTCAGCCCTTGTGTATTATTGGTATTGTCACTAGAGGGCAGTGGGGATTGTTTTAATGTCTTTTCCACCTATTTGTTTTTGTTACCAAACTACCTTTAACATATTATGGTAAAACAGCTTTATGGTTTACAGCTAAACTATAATGACTAATTATACCCTGTTGAAAAGACCAAATTAGACAAGCTCGAATTTCCATGCAGGTTCAGACTGGTCAGAGCTGGTTTGGCTAGTAAATGCTGATCAGCCAGTCATGCTAAACTGAGAACACAGATATGACTGTATCGGCTCCATTGACATCTCTCACCTTTGCGGTTCATTCCCATCTGCAGGCACTTGAGCAGCCTGCAGTACTGGCAGCGGTTGCGCTGTTTGCGTGACATCTCGCAGTTCTTGTCGCGGCTGCAGCGGTAGACGCGCTTGTTGCAGATGCTGCGCTTGAAGAAGCCCTTGCAGCCCTCGCAGGAAATAATGCCATAGTGCAGTCCTGTGGCACGGTCTCCGCAAATAAGACAAGAGCGCTGCTCAGCCTGGTCATCTGAGAGAAACACACAAACATACAGAGATCAGGACCAAAGTATGTAGAGATACACATGTGCATGCAGATGTATTCTGTATATTTTAGATCAGGGGTGTCCAAACTCGGTCCTGGAGGGCCAGTGTCCTGAAGAGTTTAGCTCCAACCCCAATCAAACACACCTGAAGCAGCTAATCAAGCTCTTGCTAGGCATACTAGAAACTTAAAGGCAGGTGTGTTGAGGCAAGC